AAGGAATAAAGGAATAAAGGAATAAAGGAATAAAGGAATAAAGGAATAAAGGAATAAAGGAATAAAGGAATAAAGGAATAAAGGAATAAAGGAATAAAGGAATAAAGGAATAAAGGAATAAAGGAATAAAGGAATAAAGGAATAAAGGAATAAAGGAATAAAGGAATAAAGGAATAAAGGAATAAAGGAATAAAGGAATAAAGGAATAAAGGAATAAAGGAATAAAGGAATAAAGGAATAAAGGAATAAAGGAATAAAGGAATAAAGGAATAAAGGAATAAAGGAATAAAGGAATAAAGGAATAAAGGAATAAAGGAATAAAGGAATAAAGGAATAAAGGAATAAAGGAATAAAGGAATAAAGGAATAAAGGAATAAAGGAATAAAGGAATAAAGGAATAAAGGAATAAAGGAATAAAGGAATAAAGGAATAAAGGAATAAAGGAATAAAGGAATAAAGGAATAAAGGAATAAAGGAATAAAGGAATAAAGGAATAAAGGAATAAAGGAATAAAGGAATAAAGGAATAAAGGAATAAAGGAATAAAGGAATAAAGGAATAAAGGAATAAAGGAATAAAGGAATAAAGGAATAAAGGAATAAAGGAATAAAGGAATAAAGGAATAAAGGAATAAAGGAATAAACGAATAAACGAATAAACGAATAAACGAATAAACGAATAAACGAATAAACGAATAAACGAATAAACGAATAAACGAATAAACGAATAAACGAATAAACGAATAAACGAATAAACGAATAAACGAATAAACGAATAAACGAATAAACGAATAAACGAATAAACGAATAAACGAATAAACGAATAAACGAATAAACGAATAAACGAATAAACGAATAAACGAATAAACGAATAAACGAATAAACGAATAAACGAATAAACGAATAAACGAATAAACGAATAAACGAATAAACGAATAAACGAATAAACGAATAAACGAATAAACGAATAAACGAATAAACGAATAAACGAATAAACGAATAAACGAATAAACGAATAAACGAATAAACGAATAAACGAATAAACGAATAAACGAATAAACGAATAAACGAATAAACGAATAAACGAATAAACGAATAAACGAATAAACGAATAAACGAATAAACGAATAAACGAATAAACGAATAAACGAATAAACGAATAAACGAATAAACGAATAAACGAATAAACGAATAAACGAATAAACGAATAAACGAATAAACGAATAAACGAATAAACGAATAAACGAATAAACGAATAAACGAATAAACGAATAAACGAATAAACGAATAAACGAATAAACGAATAAACGAATAAACGAATAAACGAATAAACGAATAAACGAATAAACGAATAAACGAATAAACGAATAAACGAATAAACGAATAAACGAATAAACGAATAAACGAATAAACGAATAAACGAATAAACGAATAAACGAATAAACGAATAAACGAATAAACGAATAAACGAATAAACGAATAAACGAATAAACGAATAAACGAATAAACGAATAAACGAATAAACGAATAAACGAATAAACGAATAAACGAATAAACGAATAAACGAATAAACGAATAAACGAATAAACGAATAAACGAATAAACGAATAAACGAATAAACGAATAAACGAATAAACGAATAAACGAATAAACGAATAAACGAATAAACGAATAAACGAATAAACGAATAAACGAATAAACGAATAAACGAATAAACGAATAAACGAATAAACGAATAAACGAATAAACGAATAAAC